CCATGTATCTGTTGGAGGCTCTCCTTTCTTTGCCGCACCAGCTACCCGACTACTGTTGTAATGACTTGGGTAGAGGAAACACTTCTGCCCCTCATTGTCCCTCCACACCTCTGGCACTACCTCCAGGGTAGTCTGGCCACCTACTTCTTTCTCGATTTCAACAACAACATATTTCAGAGTTCCTTTTCCTGACCGCATTGACTATGCGACTACTTGAATAGTGACTAGGATAGAGGAAACACCCGGGTCCACCATGGACAAGTGACAGGGTCAGAAAGGACTCCCCAGGTCCTGTACAGGCCTGTTTCAAGAGCTTTGTGGTTGAGGCTCAGATGCATTCCGTCACTGTGCATCTGAAAGCACTGATGGTGATGCATCTGGCAGAGGACTAAGCGGAAAAACTCTTTCCTCGGTCCACCCAAGTCCACTGCTCCCTCGCCCGTCCCGTCCGCTCCTGAGGTCCTAAATATGATGTCAAGCATCCCAGCTGGATCAAAATTTGGCCGCCTCATTGCCCTGATGGCACCAGCCAGCGGGCCCTCCTTGTCTCTCCAAACCTCTGGCACTACCTCCAGGGTAGTCTGGCCACCTACATGTACTTCTTTTTCAAACTCACCACGACATATTTTACAGTTGCACTAGCCCTTTACAAAGTTGTGGAAAAGGTAGAATTTACAAATATGGAGTACTGGTATGATATTACATGCAAATATGAGGTGTAGTATAGTAAACAGTACTTCCCCTTCTTCCCATGTGTGTTCTGTGGCGAGCAGTTGCTGTTGGCTGGACCCCGATGTGCTTAAGAGTGTCCGTCCACAATGCGTGCCTACGCACACGGAGTGACTGATATTTGTCATCGTCGTTAATTGCAGATGATGTGTTTACAAAATAACTGGGAATCCAGACAACTGCAGATGTTTACATAACACACTATTAGTTTCATTCATTCAGGCATGCTCTTTGAATTAGACTACAGTCGTTTGTATTTTTATTCAATGACAGATCAGATGCATCAGTTTTATCATTTAAAGGTAGGCCTACAGGCTACAGCTTACATTTATCGAATCTTTCGAACACCCTCTTCTGATATTCAATGTGGGTTTGCCTTTCTGCAGCTAGCTCTCTTCGTAGAATCGCAATTTCAGCTGTCAGTTTACTTGTAGCTGTCTCCGATGGACCAGATACATGTCTTGACGGACCAGCTTGAGCTATATGTACATGTCTTGACGGACCAGCATCAATAGAGGCAGAGCTTGAGGCCCTCTTCTTTATCTTCTCCGCCATTATTCTTTTTAAAAAAACTGCTCTTGAAGCTTCTTCATTCTTCTGTATTGGATAAGCATAATATAATATTGTTTAGTAACAAGTCATGTACTACAAAATAGAAATTTCCTCACTTTAGTATTTTTGAGGCATTAGAAAAGTTAAGTGGTAGACAGAAAATAAAGTATATTATTATTCATCACTTGTGTGTATGCCGACATTGTGTCCTATGCAAAGTCGACCCATTGAGTACCAGGAGTTAGCAAAAGGTCCCAAACATTTGTGTAAGAAGTGGCAAAGGTTTGGCAAATAGTTGATATTCTTCGCAAAAACTGTCGCTTACATTTGCTTAAAGTCGCTAGTATATGTCAACTGCCTTTTGTACACATCCGCTCAAATGATGCTAATTGTCCCTAAATATCGCAGAACCGAACCCTGATTTTCACCAACATTCATCAGAAAAGTTGGCGAATCCAAATTCTCAATGTTCGTAAGCATTCACCGCTCAGTGAGATACACCCTTTATGGATTAAAAATTGTTCATAAGCTTCTTTGATTTCCAGTTGAAAGTAGATTACCCTCATACTTTTTTATTCAAATTACCGGTAGTTCATTTCACAATTGCAGCAAATTTGAATAACTACATTATTTAAACGATGGGGACTCAGGGTCTCTTGTGGTGCAAATCTTTGTACCACGTATGCAATTATGTTTTAGCTTTTTGCAGGGCAATGATTTAAAGCTTTAAAGTTTTCATATTCATTTATAAGATGGCAGAAATACACTACCCAAGACAATTAGAGAATATTAATTTCCATTATTATTGTTCATCAATAACTACTTTTTAGGCATATTCCCAACAATAGATTCCATTAACAGAAAATACTGCCTTTAAGTTAAGAAAGAGGATACATGTATGTGCCTTTCATGAAGAACTTCTGTGAAGAACTCTCTGGTTGGTCCTCCCTCGTCTGCAGCACTTTCCTCATGAAAAGTGATTTTCAGGGGAAGGCAATGTCAAAATTAGACCTTCTCAAAGACCTTAGAGTGTCAGTCCACAATTTGTGCCTACGCACACGTAGTGACTGATATTCATCATCATTGTCAATGAGATGAGTGCCTCTTAATGCTTTAATTCGTTGGGCTATTCTGTGCCGTGCACCTTTTAGATCTGTCACACTGCAAAACAATAGACAATAAATATACAGAATAATATATGTATAATAACATAGAAACACTAAATACTATATTTTACAGTAGTCTCATCAGCATGCATTGTGTATAGTCTATTCAAAGATAATTCAATAGATCTTTCACTTCAAACTGTACTAATCTAAGAAACATTCTTCAACTTACCACATCAACTTTTTCCCTCACAGCATTGTCACAAATATTGGTGTGGGAAGGCTTCAAATTCTGAAGTCCGCTACAGATGTACTCGAATTGAATTCCTGACAAGCACTTCGTAAGGATTCCCCCGTGAATCAAAGACATGGCCAAAATCTGGCCGGCTAGTTTGAATTCCCCGCTGTTGAGGGCCTCGATATTGTGAGTTATGCAGCAGGAACTATCTGGGCCCTCAAACAGCAAGGGGTTCTTCAAAAGTTCGCGAAGTACTTCAGTGAAGAATTCCCTTGTAGGGCCTCCTTCGTCGGCGGCACTTTCCCATAAAAAGTTACTTTCAGGGGAAGTCTGAGGTCAAAATTGGACCTTCTCAGAGACCTCAGAGTATCGGTCTACAATGCGTGCCTACGCACACGTAGCGACTGATAATCCTCATCATTGTCAATGAGATGAGTGCCTCTCAATGCTTTAATTCTTTGCCCTATTCTGTGCGGTGCACCTTTTAGATCTGTCACACTGCAAAACAATAGACAATAAATATACAGAATAATATATGTATAATGACATGAAAACACTTAATACTAATATTACAGTAGTCTCGTCAGCATACCTATCAATAAATAAACATATCACATACCTGTCGTTAACCATTCTTTCTTCACTTGGAATGACTTCCATATATCTGTTGGAGGCTCTCCTTTCTTTGCCGCACCAACTACCCGACTACTTGAATAGTGACTAGGATAGAGGAAACACCCGGGTCCACCATGGACAAGTGACAGGGTCAGAAAGGACTCCCCAGGTCCTGTACAGGCCTGTTTTTAGAGCTTTTTGGTTGAGGCTCAGATGCATTCCATCACTGTGCATCTGAAAGCACTGATGGTGATGCATCTGGCGGAGGACTAAGCGGAAAAACTCCTTCCTCGGTCCACCCAAGTCCACAGCTCCCTCGCCCGTCCTGTCCGCTCCTGAGGTCCTAAATATGATATCCAGCATCCCAGCTGGATCAAAATTTGGCCGCCTCATGCCCTGGAGTAGTGACTTTGGTAGAGGAAACACCTCCGGCCCTCCTTATCTCTCCAAACCTCTGGCACTACCTCCAGGGTAGTCTGGCCACCTACTTCTTTTTCAAACTCTACCACAACATATTTACATATTTATATTAGATCTATTCAAATATCCTTTATACACCATTTTGCATTACAGAGAATACTAACAACGATACAAATATGTAAATAGAAATATATGATATCTTTACGAACAATCCCAATTCGGTTACCTTAGCCCATTTGCTGTCAATTAGGGAGCTCGAATGGGCTGCCATGCTTCCTGCTTGAGCTGCGTCATAGTACTTTCGCTGTGTACTTTCGCTGTGTAACATGTGGTTAGCTACCTTTCATACCAGTACTCCATATTTTAAATTCTCCTTTCTGAACTTTATATGAATGCTCTTGGCCCTGGATATCAATAAATGAACATATCACATGCCTGTCGTTAGCCATTCCTTCTTAACCGGATAGGATTTCCAGGCATCGGTTGGGAGCTCTCCTTTTTTTGCTGCAGCCACCACACGACTACTGGAGTAGTGGCTAGGATACAGAAAACACTTCGACTGCTTATAATGAAGCTCTAAATAAGCAGTCGACTGCTTATAATGAAGCTCTAAATAAGCAGTCGACTGCTTATAATGAAGCTCTATATAAGCAGTCGTGTTTAAACCTTCCTAAGCCTTCGAAGGCTTATAAGCAGTCCGTAGGCCTTCCCACAGCCAAGTTAATATGCAAATTAGCTAAGCCTTCATCATTGACTGCTTATACCTTCATCGTTGAATCACCTAAACCTTCGTTGTCGACTGCTTATCCCCTAAACCTTCGAGCGTTGTCCACTGGGTACAAACCTTCGACTGCCTATATTACCTAAACCTTCCGTCATCAACTGCATAGTGTTTTTTTTTTTAAATAAAAAGGGTTAGTATTTCCAATAATTTTTTTATTCAAATCGGCTACCCTAGTAGCAGTCAAGAAGGAAAAAATAAAAGACTATGTATAAAAAGACATCCATTGCGGCTGGTAGAAAGCTACATCACAGTTCATTCTGCATTGGGAGCTAGCTTCCGTGGTCCTCCCAGGGACAGATCCAGACTGGGCTTGTTGCTTTTCTTTTCTTCTTTTTTTCAGTGTGAAACAATATGCAAGGGTTAGCCACATCAGTTTTGTTTTGTGTACCTGAAAATATTGCCATATATTTTTGTTTTTTTTGTCATTATGAGGTTTGCCGGTGAATATGGAATCACTTGTTATGAAATGCAATGGTTACTCAAATAAAGAATCAAGAACACAGCTAGATTTTGTAATGCACTTGAAATATATTTGTTACTATAAATTTACACTTTATACACATACATTGTTATTGAATCTATCAAAACTTGGCTCATGAAAATTACAATAACTTTTGATTATATACGTGTCCACGAGAAATTCGAGCAAAAAATATCAAAATGCTCTTTAAAAGGTCATTAACAACAAAGTGAGAATTTAGAAATATGTAGAACTGATATCTCAGCTGTATTTATGAAAAAAAACCTCAAGAGTACAAATGTTATAACAAATTTCCCTTAATATTAAAAATGATGCATCGATTGCAGTCTGAAATAAGACTAGTGCAAACCAGCTTAATTATTAACGATGAGCGGGGAAAGTACTTTGGTAACAGATCATACGGGTGTGCCAACATAGTCTTGTTTCAGGCTTCACGGAAGACCCAGGGACTTTAATTTTTCCAACACCTTACTAGAACCTGAGGAGGGGGGAGGGAGATACGCAATAAAACCAGTTAATACTTTTGTACTTTTTTTTTTAAAGCTCTTGTAAATAGCGTTAAAGGACTAAAAATTTTACACTACATAAGATCTACGGATATCTTACAGTTTTACAAAATAATATTGTAATATACAGTCAACCTTGCCTAAGTCGAACTTGCATAAGTCGAATAATCGCCTAAGTCGAAGGCCTTTTCAAGTCATCTTCTCTTTATATTCTATTGTTTTTAACCATTCATAAGTCGAATTTTTTCTAAGTCGAAGCTATTTCTTCAGTCCCAACAGATTCGACTTAGGCAAGGTTGACTGTATATATATGTATATTAAATATGTAAAAGTGTGTGCGCTGATATTTCACGACCGTTATATTTTTTTTATAGAATTGACAATCAGAAAAAAATTCCAATTTATGTCAATTACAGCTCATGAAAACGCCACCAAAATCATGAATAAGCCAAAATCATGAATCAGCCCAAAATCGTGAAAATATATTGGCTTACACAGTAGACTGCAAAATAAAATGATGTACCACAATAACTCCTGAAGTTAGGTCATCACTAGAATACATTGTATTGTGCTCAAAAGTGGAGAAAGTTCAAGACAAAAATAAGCATTTCCCGTTATTGGAGCAAAGTTTTTATTTGCCCCCCACCTACAACTTGACATATATATCGAAAGTAGGAAGGTTGCAATAACTTAATCTCTGAAAAATGAATTCAGCATCAAGAGTTTGCTCATCAAGTCTTAATTTTTCATATAAAAAAATACAGGATTAATAGCTTAAAGTAAAATGACTACAAATATTCAATAAAGGATATGAATACTTGACTTAGAACAGTAAGTTTAACAGCTAGAGTATCAAAACATATCTACAGTACATGTATATTGACCCGTTTGAGGAAACATATGGAATGCCATCAACTGGAATGTCCTAGCTCATCTGCGCGCATTTGTTACTTTGTTGGTGATAATGCGATGCATGTCCTTTTCATTGATGACCTCCCAGCTATTCGTCGTCGCGTAAGACTTTGTGAAATCTGCAAGACATAAAAATTAAGGGACAAAATCAACATAAAAGCAAAAATTATTACAGCCTTGTTATGGACTAGGGTTGCATTTCGTATATATAACTGGAGTTGCACATTTTAAGATTAGATGTAGCCAACTTGCAGTCAGTAGGCTGAATGCGTCATAAGGGGCCTTTAATCTAGAAAACAAATATACTCTTTACGTGCGTCACAAAAACAAAAATTAAGTGATGAGACAGTCTGTGAAAGGTGTATTTATTGTACTCTTTGTACTTTTTTTTTCTTTTTCTCATCTCATAAAAAATCCGGATAAATTCGGAAGACTGACATTCCTGATGAGATTTCATTATAACGAGGTAATTAGGTTGGTCACGAGCACCTCGTTATAACGGGAGTTGACTGTACATCTGAATCTATACTGTAAAGGTTGACCAGACAATATTTCTTAGTTGCACTAATGGAATTGTCGTAGATAACTACTCAACATATTTTATTTAAAGCGAGACCGAACTAACCCACACTGTGTGTGGGCTCTAATAGGGTAATGTATTATAAAAGCTAGTCTTATAAATATGCCTTTTTAGATAACTATTGACAATACATTGTATATTTCAATGCTTTATTCAACATAAAGTCAATACACACACTATAATCTCCTGATTAGGGGATTATGCTGATAAGAGAGTCTGCATGGTTGAGGGAACCAATGATCACATGTAAAACACACTGTTTACAACCACAATTATGGGCATATATTATAAGACTACTTTTATCAGAATGGTGCATTCTGGGTTAGGAAACAGGATAGGAAGTTTAAGACTCAAGGTGGAGCTATACAGGGCCTCTGGTTCACTGTGGCTTTAAGAGATAACAATTACCAATAATTGCTGCAATCTTGAGGGGATCCAGGGGCTTGTTATTTGGTCTCTTCTTGTCCTTTCTCAGGCCCATGCCGCTCGAGTTGGCCAATTCGTCCTTTGTGAAGATGAGATCCAGGGCCTCATTCAAAAGCTTTTTGCAACTTTCTTTACACTTAGAGGGCCTGGATATCATTATCCGGTACCCAGCCCTGCAGCCAGCGGGCCCCCCTTGTCTCTCCAAACCTCTGGCACTACCTCCAGGGTAGTCTGGCCACCTACTTCTTTTTCAAACTCAACCACAACATATTTTACAGTTGCACTTGCCCTTTACAAAGTTGTGGAAAAGGTAGAATTTAAAAAATATGGAGTACTGGTTGAAAGTTGATCTAGACCCGTTTCACTCTCAGCAGACAATATTTAAAACAGTTGGCTGTATAGCAAACTGTTTATACATTGTACATGTTATTCTATATGAATGCTCTTGGCCATGGACACCAATAAATGAACATATCACATACCTGTCGTTAACCATTCCTTCTTAACCGGATAGGATTTCCAGGCATCGGTTGGGGGCTCTCCTTTTTTTGCTGCAGCCACCACACGACTACTATTGTAGTGGCTAGGATACAGAAAATACTTCTGCCCCTCCTTGTCCCTCCACACCTCTGCAGCATTTTGTACAATTTTCAAAAAAAGCACTTTAGGTGAGGTAATTCAGCACCAGACTCATCATCCTTGAAAGGATGTACATCTTGCAGACTTAGCAAACACCATACCATTCTTTTGGAATCTTTCATAAACACAGATAACCTCGTTCATATTGACAACATGACCCAAAACCTGAAAAGCAGCTCCTTCTTCCAATGTACACACTCTTGATTGGCCACTCCCTAAAATGGATAAAGTACCAACGCTAACATTCAAATTTCTCTTCAGATTTAGCATTTTTCTACAGAAAACTTTAATTTGCGGTGAAACATCCCTGGCCTTGACAGTAGGTCATTCTCTAAGCTTAAAGAGGAATTCCCCGCTGTTGAGGGCCTCAATGTTATGTGTGATGCAGCAGGAATCTGCAGGTCCCTCAAACAACAAGGGGGTCTTTAACAGTTCACGAAGAATTCCTGTGAAGAACTCTCTGGTTGGTCCTCCCTCATCTGCAGCACTTTCCCCATGAAAAGTGACTTTCAGGGGAAGTCTGAGGTCAAAATTATTGGACCTTCTCAAAGACCTCTGAGTATTGGTCCACAATGCGTGCCTACGCACACGTAGCGACTGATAATCCTCATCATTGTCAATGAGATGAGTGCCTCTTAATGCTTTGATTCTTAGCTCTATTCTGTGCCGTGCACCTTTCAGATCTGTCACACTGCAAAACAATAGTAAACAAATATACAGGATGTTTAACATAGAAACACTTAATACTATATATTACAGTCTGTAGTCTCCTCAGCATAACTATCAATAAATGAACATATCACATATCTGTCGTAAGCAATTCTTTCTTCACTGGAAATGACTTCCATGCATCTGTTGGAGGCTCTCCTTTCTTTGCTGAAGCCACCACACGACTACTATTGTAGTGGCTTGGATACAGAAAACACTTCTGCCCCTCCTTGTCCCTCCACACCTCTGGCACTACCTCCAGGGTAGTCTGGCCACCTACTTCTTTCTTGATTTCGACAACAACATATTTCAAAGTTGCCTTTCCTGGCCGCATTGACTATGCGACTACTTGAATAGTGACTAGGATAGAGAAAACACCCGGGTCCACCATGGACAAGTGACAGGGTCAGAAAGGACTCCCCAGGTCCTGTACAGGCCTGTTTCAAGAGCTTTTTGGTCGAGGCTCAGATGCATTCCATCACTGTGCATCTGAAAGCACTGATGGTGATGCATCTGGCAGAGGACTAAGCGGAAAAACTCTTTCCTCGGTCCACCTAAGTCCATGGCTCCCTTGCCCGTCCTGTCCGCTCCTGAGGTCCTAAATATGATGTCCAGCATCCCAGCTGGATCAAAATTTGGCCGCCTCATTGCCCTGATGGCACTAGCCAGCGGGCCCTCCTTATCTCTCCAAACCTCTGGCACTACCTCCAGGGTAGTCTGGCCACCTACTTTTTTTGCAAACTCAACCACAACATATTTTACAGTTGCACTTGCCATTTACAAAGTTCTGGAAAGGAGAATTTTAAAATATGGAGTACTGGTAAGATATATAATATCATGCCAGGTTACCATATCCCATCTGTTCTAAAATGGCATTATCCCGACAAATCTGCTCAAAATTGGATGTACCGTATTTGCCAATGTTATACTGTGTGATTTTCCAAGACACTGGTTTTGTATTTTTACCAGCATGACTCCAGCTATGGGGCGCTAGAATTTTTCTCCTCTGTGGTATGGGAAGTACAGCAGAAGACAACTGAGATTAGCTCTGTGCATATGCATCTTCAGGGACAAGGGACATTTTTGTAGGCCGCCCTGATTGGAGACGACTTCCTCAACAAGTCACACCAGCATGCCTTGAACTTTCTTTTCGGCTGCTTGCCTATGTTGAGAGAAACTTTAAAAACTCTAACATAAGGCACCATGCAGGGCCATACAGTCGCACGTCATTGAGTACTATGGTCTCTGCACCCTTACAATAGTGTGGGCCACCGCTACATCAGGCAATCCATCGCAAGAATTATCAGAAAGATATTTGCTGATGATGACTGAATGACAAACATGATTACAATGATTGTATGAGAATGAGCATGAATGTAACCGCGTATGTAAACAGCATCTCTGTCATTTTTCGTTAACTTCTCAAAATAATATACTGTTTAATGCGTTAATGAGCCCAAGTTTGATCATTTCACTTAGGCATCAAAATACAAACTGATGGCAAGAAAGACATCCTTTCAGAAGAAACATGTCCATAAATGATCACACTTGACCAAAACCTTTGCACCAAAGGATAGCCTGGCAGAGAGAAGTCATGAAGGAGTCGTAAGTAGGATAGTGAACGGGCAACACTAGAGTCAAAGTGCATGTGGATGAACTGGGGAAACGGCGGCATGGCTGTTTATCAAGGGGAATTTGGCTCACGTAACAGTCATGCTTGAAGCTGACCGAAGGGGGCCCCGACCACCCTGTCACTGGGCAGCATGGTGCCCCTGTCATGAAGTAGACAAGATCTGATATTGTGACTGGATTATCCTCACAGTAAAGTGTACCTAGTTTTCTTTTCCTTCCTAAGAAGTCTTCGGCGCCCATTTGGTATGCTTCTGAATGACACATCAGAAGCCGCCCCTCCTCTCGGCATTCCACCAACATCTCCAGGATGTCATAGACTTTCAATCCATCCTTAAATTGCATCAGCTCTGCATTAACATGCAAGATACCAAAGTGCAACGCAATTCTCCTGACGATGATCTCCCTGTCACTGACGGTTGCACGCGGCTTGACAGGAATGTCACATCGCATCATTAGGTCCATGATGCCTTCGGTATGGAGTACGGTCGTAAAAGAGTCATCATCTGTGGCTCGCAACATCTGTAAACACACAATACATAGACAATCTTACGTAATGAAGCTATAGAAAAATTGCCTTATAAACAAAAAATATATTAAAAACTGTGCAGAATGCAGCTATCAATAGAATGAGATATAGAATGAGAATGAGTTGCCTTTCCTGGCCGCATTGACTATGCGACTACTTGAATAGTGACTAGGATAGAGGAAACACCCGGGTCCACCATGGACAAGTGACAGGGTCAGAAAGGACTCCCCAGGTCCTGTACAGGCCTGTTTTTAGAGCTTTTTGGTTGAGGCTCAGATGCATTCCATCACTGTGCATCTGAAAGCACTGATGGTGATGCATCTGGCGGAGGACTAAGCGGAAAAACTCTTTCCTCGGTCCACCTAAGTCCACGGCTCCCTCGCCTGTCCCGTCCGCTCCTGAGGTCCTAAATATGATGTCCAGCATCCCAGCTGGATCAAAATTTGGCCGCCTCATTGCCCTGATGGCACCAGCCAGCGGGCCCTCCTTGTCTCTCCAAACCTTTGGCACTACCTCCAGGGTAGTCTGGCCACCTACTTTTTTCTTCAATACAACAACAACATATTTCAGAGTTTCCTTTCCTGGCCACATTTACTTTGCGACTGCTCGAATAATGACTTGGACCTGTGGCCCTCCCTATCACGCCTATCAGTACTTCAAAGTTATTTTGGCCACCAACATCTTCTTTTGCCCTGCAGCTTATGTTTGCTGGGCCAGTTAACCAATACCTCCCGTTGCCAATTCCACGTCTCGTTCGTGAATTTCTCATACTCGTCCTCAATCTCGATCAAGTTTGTCGATCCAGAGTTGCCTTTCCTGGCCGCATTGACTACTTGAATACTGCTCTAGGTGGTCCATCCCTGTCTGAAGCTTAGAGATGACCTGGTTCTTGTTGGTCAACTCCTGTTGCAGAGCCTCAATCGATTTCATCTTGCCATCCTTATTAACCTCCAGGCTCATGATGGTAGACTCCATCTGATGGAATATAGATGACAAACTAACATTGATGTCGTTGATTTGGGATTGTAGATCATGGCATAAGAGATCTGTCTGCTCTAGGGATTCCTCTAGCTTAACCACCTTCTGTTTGGATACTGATAGCAATCATCAACAACGTTAAATTGCTCAAACATCACAAACACTTCAGACAAAGTTGAATCTTGTTGATCTCTGATAATATTCCTTATCAGTCCGTAATGTGAACCAATCGGAACACAATTATCGCTGTCTTGGGCCGACAAGTAAATCCCATTCAGCTGCATACTCCGATGCTGGGGAAACCTCTGATAGGAGAGGACGATTGGGCCATCAGCATGATCCACCCCAAAGCAAATATCTTCCTTGACTTTCTTCTGACTTCCAATTTTCATTTCTGACAGCCTTCATATTACTTGAGGTAGACACCTGTTCTTCATAATTTTCTTCAATTTTCCCAGAAAATTCTCAAATGGAAAAGCAAAATAAGAATCAAGAGGTCCTAATTCTTTAGCATCAGATGCCAGATTATGCGGCAACCACCAGCAGACCATCGAAAATATGTTCCAAATGTTCACTTTACAATCAGAAAACTATACTGACCCATGATGATGATGCCATCCTTGGCGGCATGCTTCACCACATTCTGCTCTATCATATCCCCTGCCAGGGTATTTACTGCAGGACAGA